AATTTGTGTTTTTACAAAAATTTATGTGTATATATGTGTGTGCGGGTATAATAATATGAAATATTCTTTTTAAGATATAATATTTGAAAAATGAGAAATCAATATCCTACATGCACACGTATATACACCTCAAGCTGAGTCATCTGAGACTAATTCAAAGCATGAGCATTAATTACCGTACGTTTGTTATAGTGTGGTCAAGTTCACTTAATATTGACAAATAAATATGGATCAGTAATAAATAAAATAAAATTGAATTAAATTATATGCAGGCGGCGGCATTCAGAGAATTTCGGATAAAGATGATCATATGTGACGATGACTCACTTTCTTTATTTGATTTATGATTGAGGACCCAAAAATCTCTGATTTTGTTGATTCAGGACATTCTAAGTTGACCTATAAATATATAAAATCAAAAACTCGCTCATTAATTGGCTCTCCAAACTCCGAAAGCTCATTAAGCCCATCCTATTCTAAGTACTTTTTTTCATCTGTACGTCAAGATGACCATCATCGTTCACCAAGTTGATGATGAACATGGTATATATCGTTTTTAATCATAATATTTTTCAGTCTTTAGCTCTAGCTACATAATACATAATGTATATATACAGACCATTTAATTAATATAAGATGCCCCAAATTTGTATTTTTGTTTATTTATAAACGTACGTTCAGGGTTTAGTGTATATAAATGAATTTTTACTTGATGTATTCATAGAAACTTTTCGTTCTGTTTTTTGGATTTTCCAGGTATGGGTATTCAGGAGAAAGGAGTGGTTGTGCCTGATGGTAACTAATCAGCTGCCTTCCTTTCTCATTCTTATAGTTTCTCTGTTATAGCATTATATTGATGTTGCTGCATGCTAAATGGTGACATTAATGGCACACTTGATTTACTTTTCTCTTTTCTTGCATTCTTTTATGTTTGTAGTAGCAATGGAATTTGAGGATATATAACAGTTAGAGTAATGTTTTTGCAGAGCTGAAGAAAGTGGAAAGTGGTGGCTTTGTCATGCCCGACAGCAATGCTTTTGGCAACACATTCAGGTGAGTTTATATTTTCATATAGATTTCGATCTTGTATGTCATCTTTATCTTTTATATGTACTCGGGCAGGATGATATCAGAATATATAACAGATAGTTGTTAAGTTTGCATAATCATTGGACTTTGAAACCAACATTATTTGCAGGGATTATAGTGCAGATACAGCAAGAAAGGAGATCGTTGAGGGGCTCTATCGTCAAAGCCACATCAGCCAAACATATGATTTTGTAAGATAGATTTGTTAGGAGGCGAACACAATATTCTTATTTATGAGAACAAATGCAAGGGTACAAACAACATTGTTACCCCAATGCCGCAAAGGCTCTCACCTACGGTGGGGTAAGGGGTCAGATGTACGCAGCCTTACCCCTGTACTAAAGCATCGAGAAACTATTTCCAGATGACCCATGATGAAAATTGCGTCAAAAATTGCATGGACTGACTGTTGCTTCATAACAAAGAAGCACAAACAGTCAAGGTTCGAAATTGCGAATTGCGTAGTCGTGGCGTTTTTTTAATATTGCATATTGCGTAAGCCTCATTGCGCAATGAGGCGTATAGCTGAGGCGTAATATATATATATATATATATATATATATATATATATATATATATAAACATAACAAAAAATAAACATATTCATCAAAAGTCATCAAATGTTATATTAAAACAAACCATAAGAGACCAAGCAAAGTAACATGGAATACCAAAACATTCTGAATCATTTATCAAAACAAAAATCTAAGATATGAAAATTTAAATTAATTAGATTGATTGACTACAAAAATTCAATCAATAACTACTGGTTTGAAATAGGGATCATAAGATCAATTATAAAAATTTAAAAGTGGGCCGAGTGGGCCCAAATAATACCCTTACACCCTGACCTCCTATTGCGTACGCCTCAGAGCGCCTTATTGCGTATCCAATATTGCGTACGCCTCAGTGCAATATTGCGTACATCACACTCCCAGCGCCATATGCAATGCCTTTTACGCCTTAGTCCAGGAATTAGCTGAGGCGCGCCATGAGGCGCAATTGCATTGCGCAATTACAAACAATGCAAACAGTTTAGTGAGCCTTTTGCTTTATTCAATCATATTCTCAAGACAAAAAAAATAGTGAGTCTTTGACTCCATTGGAAATGATGGAAGAACAAATGCAAGGGCAAAGAAACTTATTTACGTATAACTGGTGATGATAATGCAGGTGAAGAAGATGAGGGAAAAGTATGGAAAGTTGGATCGGGTGGAGATGAGCATATGGGAATGTTGCGAGCTATTAAATGAGGTTGTGGATGATAGTGATCCTGATCTCGATGAACCCCAGATTGAGCATTTGTTGCAAACTGCTGAAGCCATAAGGAAAGACTACCCTAATGAAGATTGGCTCCATTTGACTGCACTTATCCATGGTCTGTTGCCAACTCTATTATTTCTATAAAAAATGAAAAATGCAGTGTTTACCAATAAAATGCTTGTTTAAGGGGGCATAGTTGACACCTGGTCAGCCAGTTCCAAAAGAATGTCAAATTCGAAATTAGTCTGAAATTATTATTTCAGACTAGGGGCTGTTAAAACATTCTCACATTGGACAAATATGGAAATACGAGAAAATATATAAGGTATTGGTCTCCTTCTATCAGATTATTGTGTTTTTGAATGAAATCTCGGGTATTAAGTTCGGCATTTTATTGGTAAACACATCACTTTTAACTTTGTCAAAAAATTTATCTTTGCAATTTAGGCCGGTGTGCTATTGAACTAACTCACATATTTTCATAAGATCTGTGTGTTACAACTTATGTTTTCACATGACCCTCTGAAGATAGAAAGAACCTCATGTTTTATTTGGCGCCGTAGTGCATTGGCGGATTCTTGAAACACTGGTTCCTATAATTAAGTTAAAGGGTGATATTATTGCCTGCCTGCTGCTAAAATGCATTCTAGATTTTAATTCTTTTATATATTATCTCTAATGTCTTAGATCTTGGTAAAGTTCTGCTGCTACCAAGCTTCGGGCAGCTCCCTCAATGGGCGGTTGTAGGTGAGGCATATATACATTTCAGCTATGCAACATTGATCAAAGATCTATTATTATTATTATTATTTATTATTATTAGTGTTGTTGATGTTGACTTCTAACATTTAAGTTTTTTCCCAGGTGACACCTTTCCTCTTGGCTGTGCATTTGATGACACAAATGTTCATCCTGAGGTCTGCTAGTAAACCAACATTTTTTAATGTTTGGTTATAATTTTTATATTATAGTTCTGGAGCACATATGTAGTACTATTAACTAAGAATTCTATATTTCAGTTCTTCAAGCAGAACCCTGATTATGATAATCCCGCTTACAACACTAAGTATGGGGTTTATTCTGAAGGATGTGGGCTGGATAATGTGTTGATGTCTTGGGGACATGATGACTACATGTACCTGGTAAAACTTTCATATTTTCCCCTCATTTTAGTATCATCTTGTAATTGGATTATTTCTGTACAATTGATGGATTTGATTTTCACTTACAGGTGGCTAAAAATAACAAGACTACTCTACCAAATGCAGGGCTGTTTATTATCAGATACCACTCCTTTTATCGTTAGTATTTCTTTTCTATTTCACAAGTTTGTTCAAGGTTATTTTTAATGCAATTCAGAATTTAAAATTCTGAAAGTGCTTTCATAGTAGACTAAACTCAAACGAACAATTTCATAGTCGTAAGCTTAACAAAAGAACCAACGCATTTCAGAATCAATTTGTTCCAACATATGAAACTACTTACAAAGCCTATGGGATACACTCATACACCTTTTATTATGATGGAAGCCTGAATCATAAACTCAATGTTTTATTTGTTGTATGTTTTGAAGCTCTGCACAAGTCAGGAGCATATACTCACCTGATGAATGATGAGGATCGGGAGAATCTGAAATGGCTCAAAATATTCAAGTAAATGTTTTTTCTGTTTTCCTTCAATTTTCCATAATGTTTTCTCTCATTTGATATTGTTAACTTGAATAAGACGGCTGCTTTCTGCATGTAGCCAATATGATCTGTATAGCAAGAGCAAAGTCAGGATTGATGTGGAAAAAGTGAAGCCATACTATGAGTCTCTCATCAAGAAGGTAAAATTGCAGGGTGCAGATTTCATTCTTATTTTTTTACTATATCTGAAGAAGTGATCCATATCTTTCTGTTTAACTGAAATTGCAAAATCTTGGATTTGCAGTACTTCCCAGAAAAGCTCAAATGGTGAAATTCTGGAGTTGGAAGTAATCAACTGGCTTAAATATATACATTTAAAAATATGGATTTCATTGCTGCGATTTATTTTGTTTGTTTATAATTGTAATAATTCAGTGAGACCAAATGGGGAGTTTTCTACTTCCGGTGCGTATCAAAATATACACAATGGAACTATCATATCAGAAATTATGTTCTTAATATTAATAATTGTTTTTGTTTTAACAATGTATGATTGTTTGACATGCTCTCTTTTAACATGCTATATTTAAGATGTCATGCATTGTCCTCTATAATATACTGCACATCTTGAATATACTAGTATACACTTAACAATAACAACATCCCAGCCTTAGTCCCAAGAGATTTTGGGGTCGGCTAACCAGTATACACTTATGTCCTCTAAATTCTATCATAAACCCACAATGTAGATCCTTGAACTAGGCCTATATTCAATATTTTGGCAGCTTAAGAACTTCATATTCTGACACCTTAGGAACAATGCCACCTAACAAACAAAACAAAACAAAACAAAACAAAACAAAACAAAACAAAACAAAACAAAACAAAACAAAACAAAACAAAACAAAACAAAACAAAAACAAAAACAAAACATAACAAAACAAAATTGTTGCTCCTATGAATCAAAAGTTGATTTCTTAATCTATGAAAGACAGCTGAGTTTAAAGGAATAAAGGATCATGAATAATCAGTATATATGTTATAACAACCCGTAACATATTTAACAATTCGTATACCACCATCAAATTTCAATCCATACATCCGCCATTCATTGTTCTTTGCAGCTATAAACAGAAGGTGATACATCCAAGAAAATGCTGTTTGGATTTTTTTAACAAGCCATCGCCCATCGGGATGAACTCTCCACCATCGACCTTGTTCAGTTTATCAGAAATCTTCTTCATAAGAAAATTTTCCTATTAAATTCCTCAATTGGCATTATCAATGATGTGATGTATATGTTCAGCAACAACCCCAGCCACAATGTCAGGAGAGAACTTGCCAATCATATCATCCCTAGCCCGCTTCCCTTTGACTTGGGCTTCCTCATAGTTGACCACTACATGCCTCATTAGCATTCTCAGCTTATCAACAGATGGCTCAGCCCACAAGTGCCCCTTAAATGGCCCTTCTGTAACTTCGCTGAACTTGTCAACGGATAACGGGTAACTATTTGATTCGGTCAGGTACTCTGTTGGGCCTGACCAATTTGTGGCTATCACAGGCAGTGACATTGCCATGGCCTCAACAATGGGCCTTCCCCAACCCTCTCCTCTGGAAGGCAAGACGAGCGCATTGGCTGCCTTGTAAAGCCTCGGCAGATCAACCTGAGGTATATGGTCATCGATCACATATATCGGGGCCCACCCACTGACTGGTTCTTTCAACCCAGCCGTCTCCACAACATACTCAACAATCTTGTTCCCAAAATCTCTATTTGAGTGATAGGGATTAGTCAACAAAAACAAAGCAGTGCCTTCCTCTTTGTCGAATTCTCTCAAATACGAACTCAACAGCACATCCCATCCCTTTCTATGCTCCCATTTGAAAACACTTAAGAAGACAAATGATTTCCTTAAATTCTCATCGTTCCCTAACACTAAATTGCCCATTGCATGAATATCAAGAGGTTCATACTTGGCCGGATTGAAGAACTCCAAATCAACTGCCTGGACAACCTTAATAACCTTGAAAGGATCCACCCCACTCCGGGTAAATGTCTCGACATGAAAATCAGTAGGAACCCAAACATAATCCATATTGTTACACCGTTGGACATGATCAGGAGTTACCCTATCGGTTTCAAACATGGTTCTCCCAATCACAGCCTTGAAGATCCCATAACCGATTGGTGGGCATGGGAGGGTGTCAAACAAAGGAGGGTTCCAAGCTCCAGGCTCACTATGACAGATCACTATTGTTTCATTCAATCTACATTGAGTTTGATGGAGCTGGATAGCTAAGTTTCTCATCTCCGGTGATAAACCTTCCCAGAACTCCACGCTTGCAAAATCTCCGTGTTGCTCGATGCTGACCCTAAATTTTGGATCTTTTTTGTGTTTAAGGTACTGGTGTAAGGATAGGATGTATGACCAAGATTCTGAGCTATACCCACCACCTGATAAGAAAGGAGCCATCCACAGTAGACAGTGAGGGGGTGCGGGATTGAGGTTTGATGGAGTCTGATTTAGGGCTCGTTTGGGGTTTGGGTGAAGAATATTTCGGAGCTTTTGTAAAATGCTGTTGGGTCGGGAGAAGATGTGGACATGATTGTAGCGGGTTGATAGGACGAACCCGTATGAAATTGCTGAGATGAGCACCAAGGCGGAGAATAAGGTGAAGAGCTTTGGGGTGGACGATGATGGCGGCGACCGGCGTTGCTGCTCGTGATTTTCAGGCGATTCCATCTGTACAGTAGTTTGATTGTTGCATGTTCCGACCCGCGACGGACTCGTTTTAAAAAGTACTGTACTTCTGTAGTCTGTCCGACCTTGGCTCGTGTAATTGAATATTCCGCGTAATCAAGGGTGTCCCCATTTTGGATTCTGGAAGATTTTAATAAAGTGTAAAATTTGTGAGATTTTAATGAATTTGGGTGGATTTTTATATACAAAAACATTCCACCACAAATCTTATAGAATCTGTCAGATTTTAAAATCTATGGATGTTTTAAAAGTCATTCAACTCCTACTTGGGGACACCCCCTTAAGGACTCGTTTGGTAGTTTACACGTTAAATCTTTATGAGCGAAATGATTGCATGCAAAGTTTAGGGAAGTAATTAATTTACATGTAAAATAGATTACATTGTTTGGTTCGATATTTAATTTATTTTTGATTTGCACGCAAAGGCACTGCAGTGCTTTATAAAAAGCATACAAAGTATTTTCCCACTCTTCCCCCACGTAAAATATTTTACTATGGTACAGTGCGAAATGTTTTAAAAAAGTGTCCTACAGTTTACATTAAATAATCAAGTCAAATAATGTAAACTTTTTACGTCCTTACACTTTTCATGCAAAGTAATTATTTTACTTATTTTACATCTTATCAAACGCCCTCTAAAAGATTTTGAGTTGGTTTGAACCATAGTTAATTGCCAAATCAAGTTTACTACTGATAAAAGAGAAAATGGTCAAAATGGTACATGAATTTGTTTCAAGTAGACTAAGTAGTACTTCATCTTACACTTGAAACTGCAAAGCACATGAACTTGCATTTTTAATGTTGATTAAGTACATTTGCTCGGTTAAAACGTTAAAATAGCTGACATGGTCAACCATTTGTAATATATTGTTGCAGTCCAAGTTGTCAAGTAATTAATATATAAACTCTAATTTCTTCCACTTCACTCGTTTCCCCGTTTGCTCTTCATTTTATATTTCTCACATTTGCTCTCTGTTCTCCCGCTCTTCATCTTATATTTCTCGCGTCTACTCTCCGAGGGCGAAGCCAGGCCTTTGCGCCGGACGTACTGGAGCAGTACAAAAAATATTTTTGGGAAAAAAATTACACAAATTTTTCACTTTAAAATTAAAGCATTTTTTAAATTTGAGATAGGCCAGGGCCTAAGTTGGCCCCCTCTAACTCTGCATGTGTTGCTCTCCTTCCCTTTCGTCTTCTCTCCCTGTTGTCCCGTCGGCTTCTTCTTTTATTTTTTATAAGTCCATCTTTATTAGAGCAAGAGAAGAAGAAAATAAAATAAAGCAAAAAGAAGAAACTAGCATAATAGTAGGGAGAGTAGACGGGAGAAATATAAGATGTAGAGCAGGGAGAGCAGATTAGAAAAATATAAAGTGAAAAGTGAAGGTGAAAACGATTGGACTATAGAAAAATAGAGTTATAGATTAATTATTTGATGACTTGGATTGTTGTTGTATAAAACAAATGAATAGTTTGGCCAGGTAAACTATTTTAACGTTCTGACAGAGAAAATGTACTTGATTGACTATAAAAAATACAAGTTCGTGTACTTTAAGATTTCAAATGCAATATGAAGTACTATTTACTCCCGTCGAAACAAATTCATGTACCATCTTGACCATTTTCTCACTAATAAAGCTATGAGAAAATTGTTGTTAGTAAGACTAAATCATAAAAAGTTTATAAGCTTAGGACTTAGTTAGGTATTTTCCATCCGTAGGCTTTATTTAGTTCTATTTTAGAAAAATTAATTTTCAGTTGCCAGTTTTACCCTCCACTTTAGTCTACGTATCAAAGACGAATGACTTGGGCAACGACTGAACTCATCCGCAACAACCTTTTCTTCTTCTTTCGCTCTTTGTGTCTATAATCAACCGAGCTCAAGATCTTCGTCCTTTTATTCATGTGTGATCACTTCTCCAGTTTCGATTGTGCTCATATAGTCCAAGAATTATTCTGAAGCGTCATTCAATTGTTCATCAAGCTTCATACGTTGTGCAATTTTTTTGCACTTTTCGGTAAGTTCTATTACTCATTTTAAAAAATATTGTTATTGTTTGATGTTTTCATGTATAAACGTATTGCGTTTATATATTTTACATCAATTCTTTCATCTTCAAGTTTGAATTCTCATTTTGACCTTGAAATTGCAGTTCAAAGTATTTCCTTTCTCTGTTTTTTGTTTCCAATGTCGATTTCTGTTTTTTCTACTTCATATAATTCTTTTATTTTCTTATGGTGAACTAGATACAACCGGTTATAGTCCAAGAACTTTATGAAATGGAGGGTTCAATTGATGCAAATAAAGTGCTCGACAAAAGTCCTTAACCAGAAATCAGTGCAACCCCCCAAAAAGTTGGGCCGATCTCTTTTAAAACAACACGGATTATACCCAGGATATGCAACAGGAGTATGTCCCACCCTCTGGGATAACATTTTACTGATGGAATAAGAAGATATAACGTCATTGGTTCAAACATGGGGATACTGCCTTGTGGGATGTTTTACTGGAAACTTCCCAGGTCTTAAAGTTGTTAACAGTTTGGTATCGTCGTGGGGAGTCGCTTGTACTTGCAGGAAACCTATCCTAATTTGTAGTTCTTAGTTTGATAATATTTTATGGATTCAGTTTTTTTCTTCATAGAATAACTTTTATAAGACTTAAACTTTTTTCTCTCGCTATTCTTAACTGCCACGGTTTGTTGGCATTGTAATTTATGTTAAGTGTAATCGTTTTTGGTGTTTCAGTTGATGTACTTTTGGATGTTATACTTTAGTAGCAGACATATTCAAAATTAATGTCTTCTTACTGTGTGTTTAATAACTATCTCGCTTGTTTATATACATTTTACGCATCAATTTGCACTTAGCATTCCACTTCCTCCTACTTAGTACTCTAACTATGTTTGGTCATGTGTCACAAAAATCTTCTACTTAATATGGATCTCTAACAATTGGTACCTGTTGGTCCCTTTTGAGTTGGTAATCAGTCTAGAGGGGGGGGGGGGGTGAATAGACTGATTCAAGTTTTTCAACTTTTCTCTAAGTCAGAGTTGACTTATCAGAGAGGTTCGAGTTCTGATGATCAGAACTGGTCTTGCAGCGGATAAGAGTTCCGGGTAGCCTCAAACCTTTCTGATAACTCTGAGAACAAGATCTGCTAGATCTGCTGAACACAGATTCCAAGTCTTAGAGTTATACAGTTAAAATCCTAAGTGCAGTATTTAAATTGCCGTAAAGTAAATGACACCGGGGTTTTTATAGTGGTTCAAGGAACAACGCGTTCCTCTAGTCCACTGTTCCACTAGCTTTGAGGTAAACAGTTACAAAGCTTAGTCCCCTAGTACTTAAGAAGCTCTCCACGTCTTCTTCAAGCCTAGTTGCCACCCAGGATGCAGTTCCACGTCCTGATGGCTGGTCCTTTCACTCAGCTTCCCGGAAGTATCACCACTTTTCTACTGCAGTTACTTAGACGCCCTTGTTTGCAGAAGATGTTCTGAAAACAGAGTTTTCTCCAACTTGCTTCGTTACAAAGGATGTGTAGTTGAAGTTCTTGAAGGTTGAAGAATAGGATGAACTTTGCTGTGTGTTGGGATTGGAGGATATGGATATTTGAATCTTCCCAACGTAAGCTTGTCTTGTTGATGATTATAGAGTTTGAATCTCAAGAGAGCTTTTTTAATGTTGAAGTGAGCAAAGTTGTCTTCCTGTTCTTCAGCGTGTAGCTTATATACTGGGATTGTCTGCCCGTTGGAGGAGGAGACAACTGCATTAAATGCGCGTACTGTTGACTTGACCCACTAATTTGGAAGCTTTCTATTTTTATAATATATCTTCCAGATTTCTCGGTCAATCATTTGCAATCAATCCACAGCGTATCAATCTCATTAAATGAGCATTGAATGCTTTCCTTGGATGAAATATCTTCTAGCCGTTAATGGATTTCCCGGCCGTTGAGGACAGCTTCGAAATCTTCCAAGTGTAAGTCAGAGTCTGATGAGCTTCTCTGATGGCATTCTGATCTGGGGTTCTGATGAGCTCAGACGAGAAACTCTGATACTTCTCTGGAGTTGCTTTCTTATGAACATTTTCATTGAACTCTCATGGTTCTCTGATGAGAAGTTCTGATGGCTTTCTGATGAGCAGCTCTGAAGAGCAGCTCTGAAGAGCAGCTCTGATGCTTCTCTGATGAGCGACTCTCATGACTTCCGAGAGCGACTCTGAGAGCAGTTCTCATATAGCAGCTCTGATCAGATCCACTTAGCAACTCTGATGTCGACTATACTAATGCTTACAACTGAAAATTTCTAATACATGAAATCTATATGGGGGTACTCTAAAATTCTAATCTAATTATCCTAGCATCATCAAAATCTAATTACATTTATTTCTTACAGTACCCCACATGTTTTAGTTGTCCAACTTTAAGAACTCTATGTTTTAGTTGTGCATTTTTGTTCTATATGAACTTTTTTACTTCAAAAACTTTTGTTGTCACCTTATTTTTCTTTTTGTCATTCTGTTTTATGGATATTCAATATAAAGATGTTAACAATAACTCCTAATATCGTGCAATTTATTGGTGTATCAACGTTGTTGGTCCCGGTTATCAAGGTAACAGTCTAGAGAGGGGGTAAATAGACTGTTATGGTTTTTAACTTTTTCAAGCTAAGTACCAAGGTTAACAGAATAGCCTGTTCTGTTGAGAACAGACTGGCAGCAGAGGTCTTCTGGTAGGGGTTCTGTCGGGATAGCCTCACAGAAATGCAAAGGCACTAGGCCTTCTGTTAACTCACAAGAGGTGTTCTGCTGAACACAGATACCACTTCCTTGGATTTAATCAGTTTAAATGAAAAAGCAATAAGTAAATGACACCAGGGATTTTTATAGTGGTTCAAGGAACAACGTGTTCCTCTAATCCATTGTTCCACTAAGTTTGTAATAAACTAATTACAATACTTAAGTCCTAGCACTTAAGAAGCTCTTCACGTCTTCTTCAAGTGTAGATGTCTCCTGGGATGCACTTCTTTGCTTCCTTTAAGACTGGTCTTGTTTCACTGAGTCTCCTTAAGTATCACCACTTCACTTACTCCAGTTACTTTAAGACGCACTTCTTTAACA